TTAGCCCTCCTGCATTATTAGCCCCCCTATTTATTTCCCCCCCTATTTTCTGTTTAACGAAGCGCAGATTTTTCAACATTTCAAAAAATAATAGTTTTGATAACTCATTTCTAATAACTGATTTATTTTATCTTTGCCATGATGACTGTAAATAATATTTAACTAGATATTTTTCAAGACACTTCTATACAGCTTAAAGTGACATTTAAAGGCTTAACTAGGTTAAGTAGGTGAACTAGGCAGGTTAGGGTAATTAGGCAAGTTATTGTATAATGATGGTTTGTTCTGTAGACTATTGAGAAAAAAATTAGCCTAAAGGGGCTAACAATTTTGTCCTTAAAATGGTGTTTAAAAAACTAAAAACTGCTTTTATTCTAGCCGAAATAAAACAAATAAGACTTTTTTGAGAAGAAAAAGTATTATCAGACATACTGCGAACATTTCTTTGCTCTGTTAAACATCATTTTGGAAAATATTTTAAAAAAGAGAAAAAAAAAAATCTAAGGGGGGCTAATAATTCTGAAATTAGCTGTAATTGTCATAGTAAAATGGTTTTTTTTCCACTTTTATTTAATTTTATAAGGTTAACATGGAAATATGAAATAATGTTTAATGAAAATATCTTTGTACTCATGGAGACTGCCTTCAAACTGAAAGCAAAAGTGAAACAATATGCTCGGGCCCGGTCCTCTCTTAACTTCCTCTGCCATCGTTCCTCCTCTTATAGTCCAGAGCTCCTTCCGTGGGATTCGAGGCCGGTGCGCACCACAGGTGCATCCACTTACGCACGGCCTCATTCCGTTCCCATGGCTCTCGGCCACACCTCCTCACCACAGTTACTTTCAACCCAGGCTCATTGTGGAAACGTAGTCCCGCGGACGTTTCTGGAGACCGTGGAATATGTCCTGGCGGGTACGTACGGCTGCAGTTTTTGTTTTTGCGAATCCACGAGAGGCTGCTGTTGTGCGCTTTTTCGCATCTCAAACGTGCAGTGCAGTTCTCGTCCGCGCTGTTCTCGCGTGAATAGAGGCTGCTGTCCGACTGACCGGATGATTGACTGCACGACCGGCCAATCGGCTGACCCGCCCTCCTCCTTCCCTAAACCCAACCAATTTTACAGATTGACCCGCCCGCCCGCTCGCTTCCCTAAACCCGAGCAACAATTTACAAAAGCCGTCCAAAAAAAGAAAATCCCTGATTTTTTTTTCTACGGCGTTTTCGGATTTCACTGCGTTCTCACCCTGTTACGAAACTCGTTCACTTAGTTTTTGGGATTCTGTTTTTGTCTTACCTGATTGCTGTAACCGCTCTTCCCCGGACTCGAAACCGATCGCCGTGGTCAACTCCTCTCTGCATCTCAAGCCTGCCGACGTACACGGTGAGCTGAGTGGACAAACGGGTTGCAGCGGGAAAGCCCTCCACAAGGAGGTAAGCGGTCGGCCGGCCGGCAAGCGCGAAAGGGAACAGCGTCACACCGCTCCGTAGCGTTCGCTTGAAAAAAAAAAATGCAGCCGTACGTACCTCCAGGGACGTATTCCGCTGTCTCCAGAAACCAAGTGTGCCGCAAGCCTGCGTTTGAGTGAAGGTCTCGGCCGTTAGATCGCCCCCTGGGGGTTGGCTGCAGTATAAGTCATAAAGCCCGCCTCCTCCGTGTTAATGAAGGAGACTTGAGCCCAAATAAAAAAAATGTATTACACTTGCAATAAAATGTCCCGAAAGATGGTTCTGCTCGATTAAGGCACTGGTTATTGTCCTGAAATAGGTGCAGATCTTCATTTTTGTAAACAGTTTGTTTTTAGCAGTAATTTAATGCTGGGCGTGTCATCGTGATTGACAGCTGTGATTGACAGTTTCTCAAAGCAGCGCGTCTGAGCTTCGGCAGAAGACTGAAATGTTATTATTCGATTTCTGTGTTATTTTACCATGACAAAATGAGTTCAGCAGTAAACTACAGTTTCTGACTTACATGATCCTGGTGGAACACTGTTTATTTGCTAAGGTCAGGGCTTTTTTTGGGCTTTATTAGTTTGCTGATACACGCCTAGCCACCCAGATAGCAAAATACACTCGGGCCAGTTCCGGCTAGATTCTCGCCTGCCGGAGACTTACCCCTCAGAGCTCAGACTGACTACCTCTGCTGGACCTACTCCGGATGCCTGGACTCACTACCCGATTCCAGCCCGAGTCAATCGAGCCAGATGCAGCGGCCGAGCGAGCCGGCGCTGCCGCATGTGAGCCGGAATCAGCCCGCGACGCCGCGAGTAGGTTATGCGCTGCGGCCCGGAGCTGGCGCAATTGAATATATAAAACCCTCATATTTGGTAACGTTATTACATCCATTTGTGTTGATATGACAGCAAACGCATGCTGAGAAGTTCGGGGGGCGTGGTTGATTTTACATAAAGCGTTAGGTTGGAAGCTCGACTCCGCTCATTTTCGCGGCTCCTCCTCTGGCTCCATCAGACAATCCTTCTGCGCATGTCAAGGCTCCAATTTCAGCAGTCTTTTGCGACAGTTTGTGCCCGTCAAGCAGGCGTTTTGCCCTCAAGGCGTTCAATGGAAAAAGGGGCTGTCGCGTCGTCCATATTTTTTACAGTCATTGCCAGAAACGTCCGCGGGACTACGTTTTCAGAATGAGCTTGGGTTGGTTACTTTACACCACTGGATCTTGCTTACAGAGAATAAAACATGGTGAATATAACTGTAAATCATTCAAGGCAGATGAGATTTTCTCTTCTGATAGTTATGTATAGGCAATTCATTCTCTTTTGCCTTTAGGGAAGTGAACATGCAACACTTATTCTGTTAGAGTGAATTTCCTATGGATTATAGAGCATATGGCAGAACGCAATTGACATTCTCTTTTTTTTCTGTTGCTCATTAAATGGATTATGTTATGCTCATACCCCAAAAATCCAACAAGAATCCTCACCGACTACTGCTTTGGAGAGTTCTGATCTGATCCACACAATGTGTAACTTAATAGTCTGTATTATGTGTGTAATAAATCCTCTGTGTGATCGCTGCCAGACTAGTGGCAGTTGTCGTGCGCCACATGTGAGGATCGTTTTTCAGGCCAGCCCATTCGCAGTCTTCGCAGGAAGCCACAACCGTTCTCCATAATGCCTTGCCTGCGGTATAGTAGATGCATGGTAGATATCCTGCAATAGCTACTGTGTCCTGCTCACCCTTTTCACCTTTCCTCTCAAATCTTGTGGAGTGCTCGTCCTCCATTGAGACACAGACAAGACCCACTATCACTTAAAAGACAGCCCATGCCCTGGTGCTGGTATCAGTTGCCTTAATTCAATAGCTGGCTGCCAGAGAGAGATTAACTATTCAGGGCAGGTAGTTAAAGGGGCTATTGTGTTGCACCGCTGTGGAACAGCTACGACTGGGGAGGCTTTTGTCTCTGGGGGCTCCATGCCAAAGCGACAACAAGGGCAAAGAGGGATGGAATTCTACACACATGTACAGTATCTCTCCGTCAGACATCTGTCAACTGACCGCGTGTGTTGTAAATACTTAGGTGTCGTAAACAGCAAATATTTGACTGTCTTTTTGTGACTACTTGAATTTGACAAGTGTTCAATGTTTATTTCAAGCTTTTTATGTTGTGAAACTATTTGTCCTGTTCAAAAATATCCGTTCCCAGCCACTTACAGCAAACTATTTTACTGTCAAGTGTGTACTTTTGAGCTAGTAGTGGGAATAAATGGAACTGAAATTAAGAGATGATAACTAAACATGCCTTCCAAATACTAACATTTGCCACTGGTCAGGTAGTACCATCAGTAAGTGTCGTTAAAAACAAAATGTCAGAATGCTGAAGGGTTTTCAGGAGAATTGATAACCCCTCTAAAAGTTGTAACTAGGCTCTGTCAGTGTTAAGGTTTTATAGGACTTAAAGTTAATGGCCTGTGATGCCTTGGTGTGCAATCTCTTTACCAAAATCTATTAATATTTTTGTACAAAGGCCTATTTATAGTGTAGTACATAAAATAAAATAAAAAAATACATATATATACATATATGTTTCATGTTTTTTTTTTATTAATCTGTTTATCAATATGGCATTTATTAAATGTAATTTAAAAAAATATTTATTAACATTTTTAATAACTGCTTTCTAATTGTATGTAGTTCAAATGAAATTATTTCTTTCAAATTGAAATTATAGTCATTATTGCTTTTATTACTATGTACCATTAATAATTATTATAAAATTAATATTAAAATTAATTAGTAAAAGAGTGATTTCTGATTAAAATGTATTGTTAAAATCACTGGAAAAACTTACTAAATTAAAATATATATTGTATTCTTATATAATTATATAATATAGTTATATTATAGTTACATAGTTATATAATGTGTAGTGCAATAACATTTCACAATTTTACAATTTGTACTGTATTTTTGATGAAATAAATGCAGCCCTGGTGAGCAGGAGAAGCTTATTTCAAAACCTTTACAAATTGTACATTACCCCAAACCTTTGACCGGTAGTGTCTATATATATATATATATATATATATATATATATATATATATATATATATATATATATATATATATATATATGGGCATAGATTAATTTTTTAATCTAGATTAATCTGAGAATTTATCTAGATTAATCAAGATTAAAATGGCTCATTTAAATTCTTTGAATTCAGAATATGTGTGCTACCCAAATAACAAGTCTTTGAGAACAGGTTTCTGCCAGGTGGCGCATTAGTAGACCAGGGGCTCATCTCCGGTTTCCAAAATGCATCACAAACTTGAGAAACTGTTCTACTATGATAATTGGTGATGAAAATAAATAATGTTCAATATGATGTACTTGTGTTTACTAACTGTTTATTCAGTTAAACATAAATTTTGAACTTTAGGCCTGCAAAAGCTCAAAACAGCGATTTTTGATCATCTTAATCTGACTAAAGTCATAACTGAACTAAAAAGAAATTGAATTAAGACCACTAATATATATATATATATATATATATATATATATATATATATATATATATTTTTTTTTTTTTTTATTATTATTTTTTTTATGTATTTATTTTTTTCTTAAATTACTCAAATGATGTTTACCAGAGCTAGGAAATTTTCACAGTATTTCTGATAATATTTTTTCTTCTGGAGAAGGTCTTGTTTTATTTCAGAAAGAATAAAAGCAGTTTTTATTTTTTTTTTATAATTTTAAGGTCAAAATTACTAGCCCCTTTAAGCTATATATTTTTGTCGATAGTCTACAGAACAAACCATCATTATAAAATAACGTGACTAATTATCCTAACCTGCCTAGGTAACCTAATTAACCTTTTTTAAGCCTTAAAGTAGTGTCTTGAAAAATATCTAGTCAAATATTATTTACTGTCATCATGGCATAAATCAGTTATTAGAAATGAGTTATTAAAACTATTATGATTAGACATGTGTTGAATTTTCATGTGTTGAAATGTGTTGAACCATTATTTTGGATGGGATAAGAACTTTATACATATGCTTAAAAAATTATAAATAAAAGACAGTTTGTGAGAACTTAGATGTATAAGAAAACCCAGCTATCTGTATATTTAATAAAAATGTGTGTCTATTTTTTCCCCTCTTTACAGATCAGGCAAGAGAAGGCTCATAAACATGTGGCAAAACAACAGAATCAGAAGCAATATGGAGAACCTTTGTTTTAATCCAGAACGCCGACTCAAGGGAACATCATCAGTAAAGCATTTCTAACAGATCAGTTAGGCTGAATAGTAGCCCACTTTTATCCTCAAGGCTGCTTGGAATTCAGTCTGGTAGTCCTCAACAGGATTCTAGATAGCATGTGTGAAGAACCTCAGTGGCCTTATCTTTTTTGCCCATGTGGTTGTCAATTAAGGATTTGATGTTTCTTAAATGACCTCCACCATATTTTCCTGAAAATAGCATAAAGGAGTTTTATTGTTTTTTATTGCTCAAGGATCCCTTGTAGCATACGCTCTGGCTACCATGCCTCCCCATTGCCAGCCTCATTGTGTACTCTTGCTGCTCAGCACCTTCTTGAGTCTTGGTTTGGGCCTGGAGTTCACAGGTTCAGAGGGTCAGTGGGCACGCTATCTTCGCTGGGATGCCAGCACCAGAAGTGACCTCAGCTTTCAATTCAAAACGGCAATATCAGATGCTCTGGTTCTCTACTTTGATGATGGAGGATATTGTGACTTCCTGCTTCTGAGTATTGAGGATGCCAAGCTCAAGTTGCATTTTAGCGTGGACTGTGCAGAAACCACTATAACCTCTGACAAGATGGTAAACGACAGTCACTGGCACTTTGCTACAATCAGCAGGCACAACTTGCGAACCGTGTTGGCGTTGGACGGAGATTCTAAGGTGGATGAGGTGAGACCACAAAGGCAGTTCATGAAAATTGTCAGTGACCTGTATCTTGGAGGTGTCCCTCAAGACATTCGGACATCTGCCCTAACACTACCAGCAGCTAAAGAGATGCCACCATTCAAGGGGATTATTACAGACCTGGGTTACGGCAATAAGGTTCCAACACGACTTGGGAGCCAAAAGGTCCGGTTAGAGATGGAAGGTTTTTGTACAGAGAACCCCTGTGAAAATGGAGGCAGTTGCAGCATGGCTGATGGTGAGGCTTACTGTGACTGCTCTAAAACAGGATATGCAGGACGGTACTGCAACGAAGGTAAGATTTTTAAAATTAAATTAAATTAAATCAAATTAAATTAAATTAAATTAAATTAAATTAAATTAAATTAAATTAAATTAAATTAAATTAAATTAATAAAATAAAATAAAAAAAATAAAATAAAATAAAATAAATTATTAAATTAAATTCTCTTTGTGTGTAAATTGTGTACATTTCTGTTTTTATTTAGCTGATGAGTCTTATGTAATAAGATAATAGATAAATAAGATAAGATAATTAATAAATTTGTAATAGGTAATTCTCAAACAACCATAACGCACTGTGGTAGAGAAATTTAGATTTATGTCCATGCAGGGGTGCGTTTCCAAAAACTATCGTTAGCTAACTAAGGTCGCAAGTTCCGTCGTTACAAAGATAGTTTGTTGGTTTGGCGTTTCCCAAGTTCGTCATTCCAACAAACATTCGCAAACTGCATCGCAAACTTTTACGCTTACAACTACACCTCTAGAGCTGTAGTTAGATGCATAGTTCCTGGTTGTGTTCTATTCCCCATTACCCACCATGCCCTATTCATTTAGAATGATACAACATTTAAACTTGGAATTATTAAATAAAAGAATATTAAAGTCATCACTATTATGTGTAATTTGCTTTCAAAATATTTTTACAGTTTAGTTTTAGTGATCTTCATGTGGACAATTGCATTCCCTTCGTACTTCATGGCTCATGACAAAAGCTATACAGTATTTAGTGGAATAAGTGGAATTTAAGTTTTGTCTCCAAAACTTGTGAAAACAAAAACGTAGCATATGTTAATGCTTTTAATTTATAGTAGGCTATTTATTGAGAAATGTATCTGTAGTATTTGACATGAGGCTGTTGGTTAGAACATTTCTGGAGTGGTTTGAATGTGTCAAATTGTAAAAGTAGACTTAAATAATAAATAAATAAATAAATAAACAATATCATACCTAAATACTATTAAAATTACTACTACTACTACTACTAATAATAATAATAATAAGAATAATAATTTTTTTTAATAAATAGCCTACTGTAAATTAGGCCTTTAACGATTAAAGATTTATATTATTCAAATATGAGATTAAAATGCGTGTTAGCTGATTTTATATGGAATATACTCAATAATATTTGTAATATTATACTCAACGCCTATTTGAAACATAAATAGGCATATACATATAGGCTAAATTAATTGCTAAATTAATTGTTTTGCAAACACTCATCACTACATCGTTCTTTTCCCAAATGATGCATCGTACTATGATAGTTCAGCTGCAAATTATGTTATTTGAGAAACGCACCCCAGATTGCTATTCTGTAGTTAAAAACTTAGCATATGCTGTCCAAATTACTATACTGTAAAGTTGTTTTTGAATTTAGTATTTCTCACTATATATATATATATATATATATATATATATATATATATATATATATATATATATATATATATATATATATACACACACACACACACATAATAGAAGATTTTTTTCCATGAATACAAGTGCTACTATGGGAATGTGCTTATAATAAGAATAGGAATGCTTATTGCGTATGCTAAATATTTCAATTATAGAAAAGGATATGAAGTATAAAGAAGTTAAGCAAGCTAAACAATATGCCAAAGCACTGAAAAAGATGACTCATTTCATGTACTAAATTTAAGGTAAATGGGTGCCATCAATTCATATGGGCTGAATTTAAACTAACAAATTCCACTTAGTAATGCTCAACTTTGTCTGTTTAAATTCAGCCCATATAAATTGTTTGCAACCAGTTACCCTAAACATGTAGTAAATCCAATTAATCATTTTTACAGTGTGAATTCGATACAATAAACAATAAACATTTATACACTTTCAGAAATAACGGTACGCTAGTTGTCACTGGGGTGGTACCTTTTCCTAACACACAAATGTGTACATAAAAAGGTCCATATTAACACCTCAAGTGTACATATGAGTAACTTAAAAGTACAAAAATGTCCGTCATAAAATTTTAAAGTACTAATATTTACATTTTAGGTACCAATATGGACCCTTTAAGTACAAATTGATACCTTTTAAAAAGGTACCACCCCAGTGACAGCTCACACACCTTAATTTCCGAGAGTGTACTTAAGATACATTGTATGGAGTCTTGCATTGTTAATGTTAATTTATTGTGATATTTCAGGGATATTCTGTATTTATTTCATTAACCACATTTTAATTAATCATATTTACTCTTGTATAATAAGCATTAAATGGGTTTTGAATTATGTCATGCTGATGCTAGTACACCCTTTATTTTAATGGGCCCTATTGCATGTTTGGTTGTCTAAAAGTTATACTGCAACTATATGCCAATTACTTCTTATTTGAGTATTAGAAGACTGTCTGCTTAAACTCTGCTGATACTACGCCTTCAACACATTTAACTGGCTATTAGAAGCTTTGCAAGTCAACTTACACTAACCCTAACCCCAACATAACAGTCTACTTATAATATATTGAGAATCGGTTGGCATGTAGATGCAATGTAATTTAAATTCAACAAAATGCATTAAAGGGACCATCAAAAAAAAGTGATATACATTTTAGTTTTATTTGATATATAAAGTATTTTATTAATTTCTGAAAGGATCCCATTGTAACATTGTTGCATGTTGTACTAAACGATATGACCTTTTTCCTTAAATAAATGAATAAAACAGGTGGCATCACTGCAGGAAATGTTTTAATAATAACAATGTTTCAATGAACAGTATTTTTGTCTTGTTTCATACATATTGTCATTATATATTTATATATAAATACATATGTTTATTGATAAAGATGAATACATTTCCATCAAATATCCAGATCCTGCACGTTACAGACTATGGAAGGTACACAACAGTTTCAAGAGTTTGATATTAGGATTTCTATTCTGTTAGAACAGTACATTTCTTGATTAAAGACAGTCAAGTTTCTTTTTTCAACCACCCTTTAGAGTTCAGATCTATTTGAGAGTACTTTCACTGGAGACTCACCAGCAGGTATTAAAATAAGTCTTGAAACTGATTATGTTTTCGGAATGCACACTGAATTGCCGAGAGACTTTGGTGCTGTGGTTATAAGAGATTACTGTTTTGTGTGTTGTGCCCTTTAGTCAATAACTGCATATAAATTTATTCAGGGCATGATTATAAAGTCATCCATTCAGGCAGGGAATCAGTACTAAATCTGAATGCACGACATATTGCATTTTGTGATCAAACTCAAGCAATTTAGACTGATCAGCCAGTCCAGTACCTCAGTGCTTCTTTATGAAGATTAAGAGGTGGTCCCTAGTGGCGGACACTCTGTGTTTTTCGTTCAAAGTACATTTTTATATTGGATTAAGAGAAAAATTATGTTTTTTAATTTTAAAAAGTTATATTCAATTCGCCTTAAAGCAAAAACCAACCCCCCTAGGACTTTAAACCAGCGGTTTTCTTGTCATATGACCAAGTGTCGTCCCTCGCTTGCTGCCACTACTAGATTCAAATGTGAAGATGGTCTGTGGCTTAGTAAATCTTGTTTAGATTAAGTTATACACTAAAAAAATGCTTCAAAGATTTTTTTAAGTGGTTGTTAGCAATTTATTTGGGCTGAATTTAAACAAACGAATTAAGCTGAACATTACTAAATTTAATTCTTTGTTTAAATCCAACACATACTAATTGTTTGCAACAACTTTGCAGACCCCGTTTTTTTCAGTGTACAGTTAAAGTCAGAATTATTAAATTATTTTATTTATTTATTTTTTAATATTTCCTAAATGATGCTTAACAGAGCAAGGGAATTTTCACAGTATGTCTGAAGATGTTTTGTCTTCTGGAGAAAGTCTTATTTGTTTTATTTCGGCTAGAATAAAAGCAGTTTTTTAATTTTTTAGAAACCATTTTAAGGTCAATATTATTAGCCCCTTTAAGCAATTTTTTTCCCTGACAGTTTACAGAACAAACCATCGTCATACAATAACTTGCCTAATTACCCTAACCTTCCTAGTTAACCTAATTAACCTAGTTAAGCCTTTTAAGGGTCATGACACCCCCACTTTTGGTTCAGGTCTACCTCAGAATTGGACCGGCCCACGGGGAATTCTCCAGGTCCTCCAGATTAGCCAATCCGGGCTTGGGTAATAGTTAGTGGTCTCTATAGGAAACTTTATTCTTGACCACAATAGTTTTATTAGCTGTTTTATATTAAATTAAATGTTAAGATTTGAACCCCAATTTTGAGATAAATACAACTCTTTTTTTAGCTGTAACAATTTACAGTTACTTTTTAAGTTGGTTCAAAGTGTTTTTTTTTCGCCGAGTGCTGGTGAAGGATATTTTTGTCTCTCTGGCTTTCTGGTGACCAGCAGGCCTAAAAAAAGTGCCCTTAATAAGAAGCCAGTCAACACCTGCCCAAGGGAAAACTGGTGTGATAAATGTGGAACTGGAAGACCTCTAATCTCAGAGCAGGGGTTTAGCTCAGTCCATCCTGTGTTTGACCATAGGCATGGCTGTCAGGGCTTTCACAGTCTTGGCTTCATCAGACCCCAGTCGTGTCCACAGATTAATGGACGTGTCTGATAACGGATTGCACCGCTGAGCTGTGGGAATGTTTAGTAATTAGGGGCGGAACGAAAGAGAAATGGCTAATTCGCTGCTGGGTGATGGGGCAAACGATGGGCTTAAACGTTGACTGACATGTTCTATGCATCTCACAGCAGGCCACAGTTTACTCATTTAGAGGGGGGGAAGGGTGTTCACTAATCATGAATAGTTTGCTCTACTCAATCATTCAGTTAAAAAGCCTAAAAAAGTGCCAGAGTCTGATTTACATAAAAGTGTGTCACGTGTTTATCTCAATTTGGCAGATTTTAAAGCGAATTACATCCAGTAAATACATTTGCATTTCATCAGTGAATGCTTTTTACGTGATCTCAGCATTGCTTATGCCGTGCACTACTACTCCAGCTAAAATCCTTCAGAGCCTATTTTAGATATTGTGTTT